AATAGCCTTTCATTGAGGGAAATCCTATTTTAAAGCCCCAAAGATTCCCTAGATCACCACTTTTTCAGCCATAGATGGAGACCCTCACTGGGATGCTTTTAGAGAGCCAATAAAAGGGATAGGGGGAAAATGAGAGACAAGAGAGGGAGGGAGCCGAGAGAATGGGAGACGGAGAGAGATTGGAGGGAATAGGGTGTGGGCCCCTCTTAGCACACACTCTAAAGCCATAAAGGATAAAATAGAAAATATCTCCCACGACGTGAATTTACCAAATTACCCTTGACATTCCATGTTCATATTCATTCATTAATGTAATACCCTGAAAATTTTAAATATATAAATTAATTATTTATGTTTATGAATATGTGAAGGAAATAGGAAAATAAATCAATAAATGGTTAAGGAAATTTCAGTGGAAAAATGTGAAAATCCGTTCCAGGATTTGCATATTAAAATAAGTATTTTGTAGTCATATTCATAATTACGACATATTTATAGTTACGGTGGATATTTGTATTGATAAGTTAAAAAGATGAAAATGCCCTAGTTGGCTTAACAGAATTATACGAAGATGTATTTTATCCTCATATATTTTAAACTATTTCTTGCCATATTTGAATAGAGCTCAGTCCCACGAGCATGTAGGCGAAAACTGTTCGCCAAATGGAGTTATAACGAATGAAATAGAAACGAACGAATAAAGGGGAAAAATGGTCCTTTTGCCGTGATTCTGGAATGCTCCAGATTTGCTGGAGTTTTGCCTTGGTGTAGAAAAGCCATGTTGTGGTTATGGTTAGAAAAGGGGAAAGAGACCAATCGGGAAGAAGAAGAAACAGAAAAGAAAAAAAAAAGGGAGGTTGGCTGAATGGGAAGAGGAGAGAGGAAGGCTGCCCAATGGGAAGGGGAGATCAGGGAGGGAAAGGAGAAAGGTGCACCCAACCAAAAACTCCATCCCCTTGACCCGTTTTTTTCACCCCGACCCGGTTCGGCCGGCATCCGTTTCCGACGCCCAGCTCCCCACCACTGCCAAATCATTTCCCCACCACTTTCCCTTCAATTTCCAACCAAACCCGACGAGATTTAGACCTCAATTATGCGGTGGAACATTGATGGGTCCGAGGGTGGCTAGGCGTTGATCCTCCAATTGTGAACGTTTTCTTCCATTTATCACCACCATTAGACTTCTCTTAAGCCCTGGAACAAAGCCCAACCAGTTGTAGGGGCAGTGAAGCACCGGAGAAGTCGAATCGAATACACCAAAATTCTAGGGTTTCAGCGGGTTTAAGGAAAATCTGAGCACTTCCCGACCAAATTGGACTTCGGCCCAGGTATAAAAGTTGTTTCTCTTGACTTGCTCTACATTTCTGTAAAATTTGAGAATTTTTAGAAATAGTGAAATTTTTCAGCGAGTCGAGGCGGTTGACCGCCACATGCGGCAGTGCGTGCGGCGGCGCAGGGCTGTTGAGCCGACATTGCATTTTATGTGAATTTCTTTATTTCCAATTATGTTTTTGGTATCGAATTGACATGTTTTGAGTAATAACACGAATGTTGGATATTTTGGATTAATTGAATATTTTCATAATTGGTTTGAAATTGAATTGTTAACCACGAAAGGTTTGATCCCTCTCAAGGATACGTATGCAGTCTAACAAGGTTAGATGCAGCCCTAATAATCGAGAATAAATTCTTTAGTTGAAATTTTTGATCTAAGAGATAAATGGTGATAATTTGAAAATAAAATCATATGTGTGGATAAAAGAATTATGGTTATAGATCATGTGTGGGATTAAGGAATTTAATTAAAGAATCAAAATCAATGGTAGTTAAATAAACAAGAGTTTAGTTTGGGCATATCATCGATATTATTATTTTTTTCGACATAAATATTTCGAGGCGGGGTGTTACAACTAAGTTCATAAATTTTCAAATAAAGTCATACCTCTAAGCTCTACATTCATTCACAAAGTTCATAAATTTTCAAATAAAGTCATACCTCTAAGCTCTCAATTATGTACATCTACAAATACTCATGGATCGTCTACTTCTTCGTTGTCGACCAACGGAGAATTCTTAGGTTGGTTGTTGGATTAGTCATCTTGCAATAGCTTAATGGCTTATCCAATTGGGGAATTATTTCATATGCCTACACCTACATGCATACTAAATTAGTACTCAATCACAATAATTTAACTATTATTACTGCTCAATCAAAGCAACAAATAGTACTTGGAAAACATAGTTAAACCATTTCCAGCCCTATCCGAATCTCTGCATCCTCTTACTTCCCCTGCCTTCTTCCTTTTCCTCCTTCCCATCTCCTTCCACAATATCACAATATCATCCACTCTTCATCTCCCTCTCCTAAAAGCAGCAAAAGAGAGGATGTCATGTAGTTGTTCAAAATATATCGTACCTTATGAATAACTGTTGAACCTATACATGTCATCTACGAGCTCGAAGTAGTCTAGGTTCATAGCCACATTACTCTTTGCCCCTATCAAGACACCCTTGGTGAAGTATACCAACACCATCTTTAACGCATCATCCTCATTTTTGCATTCTTTAAAAGCTTTTTCGAGCTCGACACAAGTCACCGAACCTTTTTGCTACCTTTCTTGGGAACGGTCTGCGTCTTACCTTTGCCTTTCCAACCCTTTCCCTTGCTACTTTCTCCAACAAAACCAATTTTCTCAGGAAAATACTTAGTCAAAAGCCTAATGTTGGAAGGCTCAACCTTTATATTATAGGGTTTGCCACAACGGAGCCCTGTAATGAGGCAAAAATCATTCTTCATGAACCAGGTCACTTCGTAGCCTATTAAATACGTGAGTCTCTCTAAATCTTTCACCCTTTAATTACCTACTTTATAGAGCAATAGTTCATACACCAATTGGCTACTAAAGGCTAGGCTATCGACACTCTCTAAGTGTCCAAATCATGATGCCCTAAAACCAGTAAGCCATGCGTCATTAAACTTTTGATGCATGACTCCTAGTACATGACTTGCTTAAGAAAGGTTGTTAACCCTTCCCCCTATACAATTCTTCCTCCTTTGTTGCTAGTTGAACCCCCTGAGTTGTCATCTCCTGTACACATAACAATACAAGCATTCAATACAACCAAATTGATATATATATGTAAAACATTAACGCAACATGTCAACAAGTTTTCATAACAATATATCTTCAATGGACAAACCTTCATGACTTAAATAATATCAACATAATTCATAAGATTAAAAAAGATTTCATCAACACAAATCATTCCCAACTCAACAATATAACTTAAACAAAACAAAACCGAACGACCTATCCCTTATACACAACTTGCCAACAACATTTCAAAAACTCACATCCCACCGAAATTTCTCAAAAATTCCACAAATATCCACCAATTTCAACTAATTTCATCAACCATGAACCCAATTTCAACTAATTTCATCAACCAACTTCCATAATTAATCAAATTAACATAAATAACTAAATTTATTTCTAGGTTCCATATTTCCAAACTCACCAAATTTCAAATTTACTTCGGAGAATGAAGTATGGCGTTGACTATTAGGGAAGCAACGATTCTGAACCAGGGTCCTGAGATTTTGGAGGCCCTATGTGAAACTTAAACAGAGGCCCTTACATGGTCTAAATTTTGGTTGCTATATTTTCTTTTATATTTTATATTTTTTTTATTGTGTATAAATTAATATAACGCCAAATAAATAAATAAATAAAAATGAAGTATAGTATGGTGTTTATGTAACTATATGGATTCTCTATGTTTTTTGTTCTCATCTCAAGAAACTTTTATGTGTTAAACGAATCAATGGTTATGATATTAGTAACATCTTATAACGAATTTTTTATTGCATTTTTGCTCATGCCCTAAAGTGAGGATGATTCTCACTCCCCCTCTCCCATTGATTGTCGTTAGAATAATTCAAATTTTGAGATTCATGTCTTAAACAATTAAACCAAATTAATATAACGAAGGAGTGTACTCTAATTTCTTTTGATATAGGGATGACTAAATAGAATGAAAATTAGATGATCTTTAAATGGTAACCAAAAGAATAAACGATTCTGATTATGACATGTATTATATTAAATGATGTCATATAAGAAGGGAGCTTATAAAGATTATATTAGACTTTTAAGAATTTTAATTTATTATGAAAGAAATTAAACTACAAATATTTAAAAGAAAAAAAAATAGTGTAGCTCAAAAAGGTTGCCGCACAAAAATTAACAAATATGTGCAAGTAGGGAGTCGAACTCATGCATCATGCCTGAAAACTCCACTATGAAGATAATGTGAATTATTTCCAATCTTTTTTAATATATAGTATATTGTATGTTTTTAGAATTGGTGGCCCCAAAGAATTTGGGGCCCTAGGCAGTTGCACACCATCAGGGTCGGCCCTGCTCTGAACCTAACTCAAATCAAGTAAGCACCATGTATTTTTGTGGAACTAACTGCTCACTCTCGAAGCCAAACTCGCTTGAATTTCTAAACTTTTGTTTGAAATTGTAGTGAGGGCGGTGACAACAAGCACAACAAAACTTTGACTGGGTTTCGAACAACTACTAATTTTTTGAATAGTGAGAAACTTTTCAACAGGAATGATGTTTGAGGGTTGGTGGGAGATGGAAAGTTTTGGAGGAGAAGGAAAATTTAAGAGGGTAACTATTTATGTTGGGTAGTATTTTCAATAAGTGACGGGTCATTTTTAACCTAGTTTCACCCTAAGCTTATTTTAATAGATTGATTTTCAATTATTCAAATTTCATCCAACGGCTCATATTCAATCCGTACGTGCGGTCGACAAAGCTCGATTCGCACCTTAGAAATCGCGATAGAATAATTGCGACTATTTTTTAGCTTTCGAGCTTTAACCCTCTCCATTGTCCTAATCCAAAAGGAAAAAAAAGCTTGACCCAATCTTGGTGGCCCCAACCAAGAAAAAAACGTTTTTCCAAAGAAAAAAAAAAGGTTTTGAGAAATGAAAAATACGTTGCCTTCTTTCAAGTTTGAATCCTCCACCATTCACTCACCATTCTCCATCCCCGTATCTCTCTCTGTGAATGGCGCTCTCTTCCAGATTTTGGCGCCTAAATCTCTTCCCAAAACCTTCACTTTCCCCCTTACAAACCACTCTCAAATCCCTAAAACCCCTCCGACAAAAACTTTGTCCAATCCTTTCACTTCCCATTTCTTCTTCTTCTTCTTCATTGAACTCCTCCAATTCCCTTTTCTCGACATCGAAAAATTCTGCCTTTTCGGAACCTCACAGTCGAACTCCATCTCCCCAAGATGATCTTATTGTTCTGGGAATCGAAACCAGCTGCGACGACACCGCTGCCGCCATCGTATGACTCTGATTTTGCTTCCTTTGGTGCTTTTTGTACTTGGTATTTGTTAATTTTGTGTTTTTTTCTGATGGGTTTTGTTTTGTATTTTGTGGGTTTTATGAGTACAGGTGAGAGGCAATGGTGAAATCCTCAGCCAAGTTGTGTCTTCTCAGGTATGAACATTTTGTTCCTTGGATTTGGTTTGGGTAGTAAAATTGCAGAGTTCTGATGAACCATTAAAAGAAGAAGAATTTGGCACAAATTAGTTTTGCACGTTTAGAGAATGAGGAACCTAGTTACGCTTCGAATTTTTCCGTACTGTAGGTCGTGAATAATGTTCGAAAAGGGCAATTGAGTTATCTAATTTTTCCAGAGAAACCACAATGGAGATTTATGTAATGCAATAAAATGTCCTTAAGGATTCATAATTTCATGACAAACAATCTGCAACTCGTAAATCATCCACAATGGAGATTTATGGTGAATTTGGCAGAGAAAGAATGGTTGTCTATTGTGCTGCTTTTCATATACCTACTTGTTAGAAAAAAAGTGTGCTGTGGAAGAAATATGGTTCTAGGACAGTGCCACATACTACGTTCTTTTACTTACCAATATTCAATAATGACGATTCATTTTTAGTTTTTCTTTGTGGTACTTATAATGGATACGTTCATCTAATCTTGAGCCTTGGCCACATATCAAGGCAGATTTGCTTGCTCAATATGGAGGTGTTGCTCCAAAAATGGCAGAGGAAGCACATTTGCAAGTGATTGATAAGGTATAGCATCCTCTGTACTATCACCTTTAAACGCAGTATGATGTTCATATCTTATTTACATCTTCTACTTGAATGAGATTTTGTTATTTATGTTGAGCACCCACGTAAAACACAAATAGGCTCGATATTTTGCAAACTTGCTGTGTCATTTGGATTGCTTATGCCATTTCAAAGTGTCAGTTGTAATCTAGTCAAATGGTTCAAGGCTATCTCCTTTTTTTCTCGGTGATAATATGGGCCTGAATTTGTGATTGTTGATTGTAGGTTGTGCAAGAAGCACTTGACAAAGCTAAGTTAACTGAGACGAATTTATCTGCAGTGGCGGTTACTATTGGTCCTGGTTTAGGCCTTTGTCTTCGTGGTAAATTGCATAGCAGCACTCTCTTTCTTTCCTCTTTTGCTTGGTGTTGCAAAATTTTCGTACTACTGATGCCTTATGGTTGGGTTTGTGCTATGGAATTTCCAGGGCATAGGTTCGAGGAAAGTAGTAAATGTAATTTTTCTATTTGGCAGCGATTTACCATTCAAAACTGGAAATGGGTTACATTGTCTTTATTATGCTCAGAAATGACCAGACTTGAATTCTTTTGTATCCTCAGAGCATATTAGCACTAATTTTGTATTCATGCAGTTGGTGTGCGGAAAGCTCGTGAAATTGCTGGTAGCTGTAACTTACCAATCATTGGTGTACATCACATGGAGGCTCATGCTCTTGTAGCCAGGTACGGAAATTTTGACTATCTATGCAATGTAAACTGGAGAGGTCGCACTTGGTGCGATGGCAAGTGCCTTCGCCCATGAGCGGTAGGTCTCGGGTTCGAGACTTGGGAGCAGCCTCTCCATAAATGGGGGTAAGGCTAGCCGACATTCACCTCTCCCAGACCCTGCGTAAAGCGGGAGCCTTGTGCACTGGGTACGACCTTTTATGCAATGTAAACTGGAATGTACAAACTCTCTCCCTCTCTCATTTTTAGGGGCATAAAGTATGTGGTTGTTATATGCACTTAAAATATTGATCTGAGTTGCTCTTGTGCATACAATGAATTTCCTTTTCTGATCTAGGTTAACGGAAAGAGAGTTGCAATTTCCTTTCGTGGCCTTGCTTATTTCAGGTAAGAAAATATAAGAAACCGCATTAGGTCTTTTTACTAATTCACTGGACTTTGCATCTACATTTTTAGACTACATGACTGTACCCTTTTCTTTTTTGAAAAATAAAATAAACATAAGAAACCGCATGAAAACACTCATATCCATCAGTTACTTCTGTGGTGTTTGCTGCCATACGTGCAAACTTAGTTTCCACAGGTTGCTAAATACCATTTATTAGTTGTTTTTTGTTCATTTAAAATCTAAAAGTTCTATATTGTTTGTTTTTGACAAAACTTTTTTGGTGGTTTAGCTATGTCTTATTGTCTTATTGATTAAGTTGAAGAAAATTTATTTGAGTGTTTTCTTTGGAGGGGAGGTTTTGAGTTTCGGTGTTGTGGATAAGTTCAGAAGTTAGCATTGCAAAAAAGTGAGTGAGTGAGACAACTACAAGAAAAATTATGAAAAAGTGAGTGAGACTACAAGAAAAAAAATGAAACACTGTATTTGTATTTTAGGGAACATTTGTATTTTTTGGAAGCATTAGTGTGGTTTCTGTAAAACTTGAATTGTCATTAGTTTATAAATAAATGAATTGTTTTGTAATTTCTTCACACTGCAGTTTGGCTATTAATCTAGTATCTTGCTTTTATTTCTTGTATTTCTATCTAAATTTGGATTTCTGCTTTGATAAGAGATGACACTTATGACTTCCCAGACAATCTAAAGTTGTAGACTCAATCAAAGTTTTTGGTGCTGTATGACATTTGATTTGGGATGTCATAATTGTTTAACAATCTTGTTGTCTGTCTTTAGGAGGACACAATCTACTCATCCTTGCTCGTGATCTTGGTCAGTATGTACAACTTGGCACCACAATAGACGATGCAGTTGGCGAGGCATATGACAAGACTGCAAAATGGCTTGGCCTTGACTTGAGGAGAAGTGGCGGGCCAGCTATTGAAGAGCTTGCTCGTGAGGGTGATGCCAAATCAGTCAAATTCTCAGTAAGTTTATTTCAAGGCATATACTGGTTCTACTTAAGAAGTCTATTACAGATGACTGAGATTTTTGCAATGTGAAATTGTATTCTAAGCCTGGTACTCATTTGTTTCTAGACCCCAATGAAACAACACAAAGATTGCAACTTCTCGTACGCTGGTCTGAAGACTCAAGTGAGATTGGCAATTGAATCTAAAAATATGTATGTATAATCTGTAGATATACATTATTATCATTGATTCTTGGTTGCTGCCAGTACTAACTGTACTTTTTTGTGCAGTGATTTATGGTCTGCTATCTTAGCTATTAACTTTTACCCACCCAACTTTCCTATGTTATGCAGTAATACTACAATTCCTCTTTCCTCAGCAAGTAGCGAAGATAGAAGGATTCGAGCTGATATTGCTGCTTCTTTTCAGGTGACTGGATGTATATTTGTCAGTCTTTATCTTATTTTGATCAAATACAGCATTATTCAGTTGTCAGCGTTATTTATCTCTCCTATTTCTTTCTTCACATTAAGATTGTCTGATGCATGCAGCGAGTCGCAGTGTTACATCTAGAGGAAAGGTGTGAGCGAGCAATTGAATGGGCCCTGAAAATTGAACCTTCTGTAAAACATTTGGTGAGTAAACTGCAGCGTTTGATTTGGTATTCTTGAACCCACCACATGATAATGAGCACCTCCTCTTTATGATGGTATTCCTGAATATTGCTGATCATGGATCCCTCCTTATGTTCTTCCTATGCAGGTTGTCTCTGGAGGCGTTGCATCAAATCAATATGTTCGGTCTCGCCTTGATCAGGTTGTCAAGAAAAATAGCTTACAACTAGTCTGTCCTCCTCCCTGCCTTTGTACTGACAACGGTAATTCCTTTTCTCTAGTTTCGGCTCAACTTATGAATGAAGCTAACTTTCCTTTGATAAAAGAGGATCATAGCATTTTAACCATCAGTAACTGACATGACGTTATTTTGAGTATTAAAAGAAATTGTACCTGTAGTTGGCCATCACGAAATTAATGTGGAAAAAATCTCTAGTTTTCCGTCTTTACAAATAATTTTTCTTTTGGAGCGTTTCCTATGTTGCTTGTCAGACAAGGTGGTCGTTGCCTGTCAATTAAGACCGATACCTGAAACTTCAGCTAAAAAAAGACTGATACCTGAGTTTTAACCTTGGCAGGTGTAATGGTGGCTTGGACTGGCATTGAGAACTTTTGTATGGGAAGATTTGATCCACCACCACCTGCAGATGAACCTGAAGATATTGTGGTTTGTATGAAAACTTTTATTACATATTATTGCTTTTCAATCAATTTTTTTATTTTCATGTTTATTGTAAGCGTTATTAATTATTTTGCATTATGAATCAGTACGAATTGCGGCCAAGGTGGCCATTGGGGGAGGAATATGCTGAGGGAAGAAGTGAAGCTCGCTCAATGAGAACGGCCCGCATGCATCCTTCTCTGACGTCTATGATCCAAGAATCTTTGCAACAGCAACCGTAGTCTTCATGTCATGAATCTGCAGCCACTTCATGGTGCTCAACAGTTCGACCCATCCTACAACTCAAATTTATGTTTAGATGATGGTATGGTTGACTCGAACTGAACCACCTATCTAACAGTGAACGGAAGATTGATCTCAAGTGTGGCTCTAGCTAAACGACTGGCCATTGACATCAAGAAAATGTCCTGTAATGTTCGTGATACCCCTTAAATATGGTTCCAAAATCCTTGCAGGAGAGGAGCTTCTTACATTGCCCATGTAATATAACATTGGTTGTGTTAAAACTACTGAGCTGGGTCCGCCATTTTGCAAGTGAGATTTTTCTCTGAAGAGTTGTGCCGTACCTGTATAGTTTGTGACTCCGTGGAAGCAGAATACGATTATTTTGTTTTGTTCATTCACTTGAATAATATTTGATATCAGAATCACTTTGGCCAATGACCGTACTTGGAGATGAGATCAAGAAGACAAAGATAAAGATGTGAAGGAGAAATAAGAATGAATATCAGTGTTTTAAAATACTCGCCTCGGGGCACACCTAGGCTACCTCGGAGACTGGGCAGGTGGCTTGTCGCTTTTGTTTTGTGGGAGCCGATGAAGGACTCAACTAGGCTCGTTGGGGCGTGCTTAGTTGCTTGAGCCCCGTCTTAGGGTGTTTTGAGGTGGTCGAAATCTTGCCTGAAATTTGTTGGGGACCCCAAAGTTGAAGGTTGGCTCTGTTGCAGCAGTTGCCCTTTGGTTTTTCTTTAATTGCAGTGGCAGCATCTACACGAAGAAGATGACCACGCAACAAAGAAAAGGATTTTAGTTTTTATTTTTTGTAGACTTGGCTCAAAACGATGTCGTTTTGGCCAAGTCTTTTAATTTTTTTTAATGACTTGGCGCAATCGTTTTGAGCCAAGTCTTCTAATTTTTTTTAATGACTTGGCCCAAACAACTTCGTTTTGGCCAAGTTTAATTTTATTTTTAAAAAAAAATTATAACCCCAACCCTCTTCTTCCCCATACCAATACCTGATTCCCATCTTCCCATTCACAGTTCACCCAATCACATCACCAATTCCCCAATTCCTCAAACCCTAAATTCTCAATCCCAAGAAGGTTCCATTAGTCGAACCCTGCTAGATGTATCTATCATCATCAGAATCAATAAGTCTAGCAAGGATCCCAATAATCTCTTCCACAATATCATTAGGTAGCACCTCTCTCAGCTTGTTAACATTCTTGGAAAGTTAAAATAAAATTTCAAACCGAAAGTGAGAAGGAAAATAGAAGTCTCTTTGTTGGAAGATTACTCACATGTGGAGTAAGATTGATACTTGAAGACAAAAAGACGGGGTTTCATGCATGTTGCACTATTGAAATGGACGTCTAAGAAGGAAAAAGTAATGTAGGCCAAAAATCCCGACAAAGATAGATAATAGGAGGAATGCTTATCGATTAGTTGGCATTTGCCAGCCACTAGAGCAAGTAAAGAGAACCTACCGTGAATGCACTTAAAGAATCGCAGAGTTTGACCGAATTGATCCCATATTTCAATTTTACCCCAATCTCATACTTCAATTTGTTTCAAAATTCTCCACACCACCACATTTTGTTTCAAAATTCAAGTAAGATTTGCAGTGTTCTAATCTCAATTTGGTCTTGAGTGCTTGTTTGATTGTTGATTAATTGTTTTACAAAGTATTATATGATATAATTATATATACATTCTATATTAAAATATTTAGGTCTCATGAGTGAGGCTTCGCCTCACGCTTAGCCGAGACTATTCATGGAACGCCTCTTTTATGCCTTTGCCTTTTAAAACATTGATGAATATACAACGTGTTTTTTGAAACAAGAGCTAAAACTTACGGTAGAAAAAGTATTATATCTCGCAATTGATATGCACAAATTCACTTGTTTGAATTAATAAACATAGAAATTCAAAACTACTATGTGTGGAACAAAACATAGGAAATTTACACGCCCACCACCACCATCCCACAACCACCTTGAACTCGCAACCACCAATGTCGCTATTGCCGCTACAACCTTGCCATCATTATCATCGCCACCTTCTGTATCATAACAACCAGTACTTTGCTCATCACTAGAACTAGCACCATCACCCTACCATTTTGCTTAGTGAAAAAAAAAATCATTTTCAATTAAAAGTATTTCTTTAGTGTCTTTTATCGTCGAAATAGTTACCCTTTTGTTACCATTTTTAATATAACTATCTGTTTATACCAAAAGTTAAGAAAATATATTGTTGCGAACAAGGTCTAAAATATCAATGATATCGGAAATATTGGTAGTCCAAAAACACGGAAATTTTGATGGAAATGTCGGGATATTATTGATATCGATAAAAATTGAATAAAAACCACGGAAATTGTAAGAAAAACTTGGAAATTTTTATTGAAACTTTGCAGGATGTTTATATAGTCAATTATCTATTAGTTTATCACAAAAAATTGGAAGGAAATGCATTGCATGATGGATTTAACTGATTTAAGTTAATTATATAGCGAGCTGGCAAACATTGTGAGTATAGAAAATATGTAGTAATTAATGAAAGAAATTTAAACACACCATAATAATTTATATATAATGAATTAGTACAATATTTTACACTTTATACATTGCATGGTAAGATACATGAGTGACTTAGTACCACATAGAGTTCCTATGAGGTTTATTTGTACCATACTTAGGGCCTCCGTATTTAGACCTTGTTTAAATACTCGGGGGGCCTCTGTATTTAGACCTTGTTTAAATACTCGGGGGACTCAAATGTAATTATGTAATAAATGGAGGGGCAAATATGTAAAAAGGGGAGGAGCCCTTATTCTATAAAAGTGCCTCCTCACCTTCACAAACGACAAGTCCCTTCACCCTCTCAAAGCCTTTGATATTTAGAGCAAAGCTCTCAAGCTCCCTCTCCCTCTCATCTTTTCACAAACAAAGAAATACAATATCAGTGTGGACGTAGCCCAAACCTTGGGGGTGAACCACGATACATCTTGTGTTATTTACTTTCTTGCAAATTCACAGTCGGATTTACGTTGTTCCAAGACCTTTCCAGTTTTGTGCATCAACATTTGGCGCCGTCTGTGGGAATCGACATGAAAAGCTATGTCGGTTCTCTTTAATTTTTTTCATCTCACCACCATGAATTTGCACAACCTAGGACCCCGGAACCTCCCTCCTTGGGCTTTTCCAGAAAACCTTCGCGGACCTTAAAACTCTCTCGGCCTCTCTCTTGCTTCTGACCTCTTTCACTTCTTCACAAAACACCAATCTCTCTCTCCCCTACGAAAACACTCTGGAACCATATCACAACCTCATCCGCCATCACCATGGCCGTTCCTTCAACAACCTTCGTTTTCATCCTCCTCCTCTTCACCTTCTTCCCTCTGACCCACCAAACTGTTTCACTCTCTCTCTCTCCCCAACCTCCCTCTCCAAATCGGGCAACTCCGTCCTAATCCAATGGTCCGGCATCGACTCGCCCCCCCGACTCGACTGGCTCGGCATCTACTCGTCGTCTTCCTCCCACCACAACAACTTTATAGGATACAAGTTTCCTCTCATCCGCCCCCATATGGAAATCTGGGTCGAGCTTCATTTCCCTCCCTCTGGTCAATCTTCGATTCAACTACTCCTTCTGGATTTTCCGCTCGAACGAGTCCGAGGTTGACCCCAGACACGTCGACCAGGACCACAACCCTCCCCGACACCACCCACTTGCTTGCCACCTCAGATGACAAACTTAGCTTCGAATCAGGTCGGGTTCCGAAACAAATCCACCTCGCTTACATAGACGGAGATGACAAGATGCGGGTCATGTTCGTGACACCAGACGGCGGGGAGAGGAAGGTTCGATACGGTCAAAGGGAGGACTCACTCGATGACGTGGTGATGGTACATGTGGGGAGGTATGAAATGGAGCACATGTGCGATACACCCGCCAACAACAGTATCGGGTGAAGAGATCCCAGGTTTATCCACGATGAGGTTATGACCCGACTGGGAAAAGGCGTCAGATATTATTACAAGGTCGGAAGTGATTCTGAAGGATGAAGCAAAACGCACAGCTTTGTCTCACGAAAGGAAGACACAAATGAAACTACGGCCTTTATGTTTGGTGACATGAGGACTACAACACCTTATGCAACGTTTCTTTGGACACAAGACGAGAGCATAGCCACTGTGAAATGGATCTTCCGGCCGTCGTCAACGACCCAGCTAGAAATTACCCACGCTTCGTCGGCAACCTCTGTAATCAGAAGATCTAAGGGTCACAAAGCATTGTGGCCAAGCTTACCAGCCTCCCTTTCTAGCAGTGCCAGCATTGCCTCCCTTTCCAGCAGTGCTAGCATAGCATCACCATCGTGACCAACCTGCAGATTCAAGGGTGCACATGCATGACAGCTCAGAGACAGAAAGAGAGGAAAGTGAAAAGAAAAAAGCAAAAGTAAAAGCAAAGCAAAAGCGAAGATAAGATTCTTTTCTTATTATTAAATCTATTATCATTCCTTGTCTGCCATATTCATCAGGGTCAAGAAACAGAAAAAAAAATCAGAAAGAAAAGCAAAAAGCAAAAAGCAGAAAGCAAAAGAAGATAAAAAGAAACAGACATAATTGCGGTGGTGATGACATGCAGAAAAGAGAATTATAGGCGTGACCCATTGAGCAGAGGGTTGGATTTATTTTTGAATGATGTAATTTATTTTTCTTATCTTTTGGAGACATCTGTATAAACCCTATCAGAGGGTAATAAAAAAAAAACGGCAAGCCCAAAATAATGGGCTGCAATGTCAGGTGGATGGCGAAGGCCCATATGCCCAAAAGAGCTAGGCCCTATGACTCCAAATTTATTCGGCACCCTGCCGCTATTATCACCAACCAGACGATCAAAAGTACGCCCAGTACTCCAAAATTATTCGGTAGCCTGCCGCTATTATCACCAACTAGGTGATCAAAAGTACGTTCAGAACTCCAAAATTATACATGAGCATCACTCATGTCAATCATACATAAACATTCATGACCATCATTCATGTCAACATTCATGAGCATCACTCATGTTAACATTCATGACCATCACTCAAGTCAACATCCATGACCATCACTCATGTCAATCAACATAAACATTCATGAGCATCACTCATGTCAATCTAGCTTTGAAAGCTTCATTTACAGAGCTCTAGCTTCAAAAGTTTCATTTACACAAGCTTTAGCTTCAAAAGCTTCATTCACAGAGCTCTAGCTTCAAAAGCTTCATTCACATAGCTCTAGCTTCAAAAGCTTCATTTACAAAAGCTCTATCTTCAAAAGCTTCATTTATAGAGCTTTAGATTCAAAAGCTTCATTTACAAAAGCTATAGCTTCAAAAGCTTCATTTACAGAGCTCTAGCTTCAAAAGCTTTATTTACAAAAGCTTTAACT